TCTCCCTCTACCTGTAATACCTGACCCTTCCTCCAGGGAGCCATCCAGCCTGCCCAGCCTACAACTGACCTCTCTCTGCCCACATGCAGTGTCTGGCCCCCTCTTCTGGGAGCCATCCAGCCTGCCCAGCCCACAATTGGCCTCCTGCCCACATCGAGCTCCTCCGGTGCCCAGACCCCATCTGTGCTGCGGGTCACCCACAAGTGACTCGTTCTCAGCAAGGGCACCCAACTTCTTGGCCCAGTCAGCCCAGTGGGCAGTCCCCTCTCCCCTGCCTGCGGCGGGGCCACACCTCCAACACAGCCACCCACAGGTGGAGGACATGGGCATTAGCAGGCACTGTGGAGGCGGACAAACAAGCTGTGGGCCAGAGGGGCTCCTAGCCAGGTGCGTGGGTGGGTGTAGGGAGGGCTGGAGAGCTAAGTGAGTGGGCAGGTGAGTGGGGGGTCAGGTACGTGGAGGCAGGAGGGATGGCCATTGGAAAGGTTCGGAGTATGAGAAGGCGTGGGTGTGGGGGTAGTGGGAGGGATAGATGGACCAACTGGTGGGTAGATGGCAGAGTGCACAGACGGATGGAGGGATGTGTGGATAGATGGATAGATGGATGGACAGTGTGTAGGTGGGTAGATGGACAGGCCAATGGACAAGTATGTAAGCGGGTATATGAACAGACAGATAGATGGTGTACAGGTGGGTGGATGGACAGACAGGTGGACAGTGTATAGGTGGGTGGATGGACAGATGGACGGGTGTATAGGCAGATGGATAGGTAGACAGATAGACAATGTGTAGATAGACAGATGGATAGACCGTTGGACAAGTGTATAGGTGGGTGTATGGACAGATGATTGGACAGTGTGTAGGTGGGTGGATGGATAGAAGGCTGGGAACACAGGTTATTCCAAGGGCAGAATAGGCCAAGGACCACCAGGAGAAGAGGGGGCAGGCAGGATCCATGCCAGGGTGGGGTGGCTGGGGTCCCTGCTGTGGCGACTCTGGGTTTCAACCACAGGAGTCGGGATCTGGCTCTCCTGAAGCATCTGCCGAGCAGGTGCTCTGCGGAGACTCCCCCACACCCAGTGTGCTCCCCAGACCCACCCTGGTTAATGAGGCTTCTGGGCAGGGGCTATTAACCCTTTGACGCCAGTGAGGCTCTGCCTGGGGTGGGGGCACACCCCCAATTTGGGGAACCTCACCGCACCCCAAAATTATAATCCTCCTTCCCCTAATTGTCAGGGTAGCCAGGATGGTAATTAGTGCTCCCCACTCCCTCCTCCACCCCGTGACCCCTGGGCACCCTCCTGGGCTGGGCCTGCATGGCTGCATTCTGAGGTTTGCCTGACTGTCCAAGCCTTGTCCCTGGTGCTGCAGCCTGAGGAAGGAGGGAAGGGGGTCTCCAGAACGGCTGTCAGGAGCCCCTGCATCTGTGGGGCATGGACACACGCACGCAGACACACACATCACCACATGCACACACATAGTAACATGCATGTTAACACACATTAATATACACGAATGAGAAAAACGCGGAGCTGCTGCCAGGGGCTTATGCGGAGAGCAAATGTTTTGAGAATGAAGAGGGTTAACGAATGTACAAATGTGCTTTACACAACTGATGTATGTATGGATTATGATGAGTTGTATGAGCCCCCAATAAAATGATAAAAAAAATATATATATATATAAACGAACACATCAATGCATGTACATTAACACACATTAAAACATATTAATAAAATATATTAATACACATGCACACACGAACACATCGACACACACGCACATTAACACACATATTAATACACACACGCAAATGCACACACTGGGCTCCACGGGCACACGGGTGAGTGCACCCCTCCACCCACAGCGCTGAGGTTTCTGCATTGCTGGGCCTGCATGATGAGCCCTGGTGGAGCAGTGGTGGCGTGTGGGGTCGCTACCCACAAGGCCGGCAGTTCAAAACCACCAGCCACTTGGAGAGAGACAGAGGAGGCTCTCTACTCCCGTAAAGAGTGACAGTCTCAGAAACTCGCAGGGGCGCCCCTCCCCTATCCCGGAGAGCCCCTCTGTGTTGGCACCCACTTGAGGGCAGTGCGTGTGGGTCTGGTTTTTCTGGTGTGGGCCTGGAAGGCTGAGGGTGTGTACGTCCCCCTGCTGTTCTCCCGGAGACTATCTGGGTCAGTTAAACTGGACCCTCCCTCTGCAATTCCCAAAGGAGACTCGGGCCAGACAGACGGTGGCTCTCGTCCAGCGTTCCCACGTTCCTGTTTGGCTCATTCCCATGGGACCCGGGTGATGCCGGAGGGAGATGGGGGTCTGGGAGTCTGCCCGAAAGCAGAGAGAGTGTCTGTGTGTATGAGAGAGAGATGGTCTGTGTGTCTTCCAGTGTGTGCATGTGTGTGTGTATGTTCATGTCCATGTGTCCAAGTGTCTGTAGGTGTGCTTGCGCCTGTTCACCTGTGTACATGTGTGTGGGTCTGGATGCATGTGCCTGTGTGTGTGTGTGTGTGTGTGTGGGGCTGCGTTGTACACATGTGTCTGCGTGTATGTGTGTGCAGGGGACCAGGAGTCTGGTGGGGGGGAGCCCAGTAAAAAGTGTGGGCATTCTGGATTTGCTGGTGGAGGACAGAGAAGCGGCGGGCAGGCAGGCCAGGCAGCAGGACATGTGCCCGCTGTCCTCCTGTGTTTTCCCGGAGGGCTGCTGTGCATTGTGAGGGGGCAGGGGGTGCCCAGCCCAGGAAGGCCTGGGGTCCAGGGGAGCAGGTGGCCCCACCCATAGCTTCTCCCCACGCCTGGGCGGGGCAGGTGGGGACTGGTGACTCAGAGCGAAGCCTCTGTGAGTCAGGAGCGAGCCTGGGAGCTGGTGGAGGCCTTACACAGCACACGGGCAAGGGACCCCCTGCCACCCACCGTGGAGTCCACTGCTCATGCCCCTGCCCACTGCCCTGCCAGCCTACCTCTCCTGGCCTCTGTGGCTCCCTCGACAGGCACAGCGGCCCCGTTGTGCCTGGCCTGCTGGCCCAGCTGCAGGAGACGGGCCTGGACCTGCTCCTGGACACGGGCTGCCCGCAGTCGCTCGATCTCCGTGTCCTCTGCGCCGCGGCGGTCCAGCTGCAGGTCTGAGGGCAGTGCCAGGGAACACACGCCGGCGTCCGGCTGCAGGGCGGACAGCAGGAAGTTACTGTCCTGCATGGCGGCGGTGGCAGCCGTGGGCTGGGTCTGCCTGGCCTGGGCCGTGGCGGCCACCTCCAGCCCAAACTATCTCCAGCGCCTTGTCCCGCTGGGCCCTGTCCCCTAAGTCCCCTCCCCACTGACCGCACCCAGTGCTGGCCTGGAGACAGACGCCCGCCCAGCCCTAGCTCAGCTGGGGGCGGGGACACCTGGGCCAGGTGGGAGGAGAGGCCTCCTGCTGCTTAAGGTGGAATTTGGGCGGAAGAACAGGCCTGCCCAGCCTGAGGCCCTGGAGCGCACAAGACTCATCCAGGGCTGCTGGGTCTCCTCAGCCTATCTTGTAAGGAAGCCCAGGTGGGGACATGGAGTACCCTCATCCCGAGCTAGACCCCTGAGGCCTGCCCTACCAGAGGGGCCGTTCCTGCTCCATGGGCCGAGGGGGGCTTTCCGGGAAGCGTTGTGTGAGACCTGGCCGGGGTCACCTCCGGACTTGTCAAGAGGGGTCAGGGTCAAGCTAAGGATGAAAGGCTGGAGCCACAAAAGGAGGCGTTGGACCTGGCCTGAGTCCCTGGAAGACCCCAGTGGGCAGCCCTCCATAGACAATTCCAGCCTCTCATCTGCGGAGGCCTCACTAGATAGAGGCCACCCTGGCTTGGACCCAGGCTCGGACCAGGGCTTGGACGCTGGCTTGGATGCTGGCCCTTCCCAGGTTCTGGGCCCCAGGCCTCGGGGGTGGGAGGCTGTTCCCAGCGTGAGTCAGGGCGCAGGCTCGCTGAGCAGGGCAGTTGGGATGCCTGGGGGGGGGGCTGACTCAGGGGCTCATGTCAGTGCTGGCCTGGCTTGG